AAGGAAATGGACAACAGCCAGTGTGCCCGAGGTAAGTGTGAAGACTGTGGACTACGAATTTTCCTGGTGAACTCTGGAGACCTCACATCGGGGATGGAGAGAAAGTGCTGCCTAGAACTATTCCATCCATTCAGTCAATAGCAGAATATGCCCTTTATCCATGTCATCTATTTTCATGTGGTAGTTGTGTAGGTGTCACTTTCTTACTCCCTTTCATGTTGAATAACCTACAGAGAGTGGACACACATGAATTGACCAAACCCAGGGATTCCGGTATTCAGCTGTTGTCTCCTGTGTGGTTAAAACCAACGTGAGATGCGTATTAACTTTGTGTCTGTTTGACATCATCATGTTGGAGGATTTTGGATAGCAAGACAGGACATTGAAGAATAAATGCATGTCCCATCAAAATATTGAGAAAATATTCCTTGGAGTCAGAATGTCTGAGAGGCAGTAAGGCCTCAGGATATTTAGTCCCTTGGACACTGCATGTACAAGTCAATGCAACGTATGCAGAAGGGTTGAAGCCACTTGATTTGATAACCTCTGTGTGCTGGGAGTCATAATTATGACATGAGTATGACAGGGATGTTTTAGTCTCCTCCTCCGTCACCTGGTTATGAGGCCAGTGCACAGAATATCTCCTGCTCTGTCTCCCACTGCTCCTCATATCGGAGGCCACACTCTGCTCCTTATATAGGGGGATAGTTTTTTCCCTCCAAGGGGACAGCCACATTGCTTTCTGGGACCACTCGCTATCACACCCATCAACACCAGCTAGGAAGCCATGGTGTCTGATCCTCCTGGTTTGATCTTCTGTCATTGTTGTCTCCCCCGGCATAGCATGGAGCCCCAGGATGTTGAAAAGAAGGAACTCCTACAGGACACAGTGGATGAATGTGTTTTGGCTCCTTCAACTGTGCAAGAAAGGCGTGACAGCGGCCAGTCTTACCGTGATGGCAAATTCCTGTTTGATGAACCTGAATTTGGGTCTACTCTGGATATGGCCTATGAATGCTCCCATTCCAAAGGGGCTATAACTCCACGTGGTCCCCCAGGTGGTGTCCAGATTCCTTGTTCCTTACATCCTGCCAGACTCATACACCTCTCCAGCCCAGGCCCACGAGGTCACTGCCAGACCTCCTAATTATGAATTCAGCTCTTGTCCTCTCTTGCAAGGCTCTAATTTCCATTCTTGAAACATGCCCCTGAATTTGGATGCCTGCCAAGGCTGTTGGCAGCCTTTTCTATATCTCTGGAGATGGCACTCCCCTGGTTCACGCTCTTCACTTCGTCTATGTCTTCATTTGTCTTATCTCATCTCAAGACAGCTGAGAACCCGAACTGGACCACTGCTATGGGACAGTGTATGTTTCTCTGGAGCAATGCAGGGTCCTGAAACTTCCCTACCCCATGAATGGCCCCTGTTTCTTTGTAGCTTTCAAGATTGTTCTGATTTGATGGCGTGTAGACTCCATTCATTGGGTTAATCTCCATGGCTGATTCCTCTGAACCATTCACCTGTTGGAATTTCAGATGGAAAAAGCCTCAATATTGCAGGAACTGTCTAGGAAGCAGCCAGGGAGTTCCCCCAGGATCTCTGAGAAACAGAATTAGTTTGTTTGCCTAGACTCAAGGTTTAGGATGCTATGAGGATGGCTTGTTTTATCAGGGATATTGGTTTAATGACTCAAGAGTACCATCCCAATTTTTGCCTACGAGGCCTTACCTAAGCGCTCCTGGATGTTTACACTCACAGTTGCCTGGTATTGCTGAGCTTCTATTTCTGTCCTGTGCTATGCAGGATATAGGAGTGGGCATCTGTGAAGGGGAATGTGCTTAACGTAATTCTTTCTCTTCATTATTTGCAGAAGACCGAACTGATCAGGAGGGTCTGGGAAGACAAGAGCCGGCTGCCCCCAGGTAACTCTGGACACTCGGGGGATGGGGATTCAAAAGTGGCACCCGGGGAGAAGCAGAAAGTGCTGACGAGCACGGTATTATCCATGCAGTCAAGGGCAAATTACCAGTTTCACAATGTTCTCTGTCTTTACTGTTGTACTGGGATTGCTTCCCATTTCTTAGTGACTTCTAGAGTTGAGTACCCCACAGTCCGCTGACCCGGGTTTACGAATATGTCACAGGGACCACGGTGCTTGCTCATTCTTGTGTGCTTTAGAGAGCCATGCACATCTGCTCTCTGTCTTTAGATTTCGCATGTTGACATGTGTTCATAACATTAAAATATCATAGCAAGTAGAGAAACATGTTCTATGATGCCACAAGGTTGAGAGAAAGAGGGCTTCCTGGCATGAGATTTCTGTGACAGTCCACTGCCCCCAGAGCTGCTCGTGCTTGGCCACTACATGCAGAATTCAATGCCATTTGCATGGAAGAGGGAAGGCCACCATTGTGGGACTCTGTGTGTTATGAGTCATAAGTGGACGGCCCAGAGATAATTCAGTCTCTTTCGTCAGAAGCTTGCTATTTGGCCCGTGCACGAGCACTTATTTTCCTTTCGAACAGCTGCCCCTGTGAGAAACACAACGTGTCCCACAAAAACAAGAATTGTTTCTCTTTTTAATGGGTCATTCCCCTCTTTGCTTTCTTGACCACTCCTTCCCGCCTTGCATCAAAGCCTGACAGGACATATGACTTCAGATCCCTCTTAGGTTAATCTTCACTTGTCCCTACCCTACAGGCTCAGCAGACAGCTGGTAGAGGGGGTACAGCAGGACGTCTCAAGGGACTCTCAGGATGAACACTACTTGACATACTCAGTTCTCCCCGACCTGTCTGACTCCTACTGGCCTTACAGGAGCACCACCATCTTCCTACCCGAGGAACTGGAAGTCTGTTCCTCTCTGGAAGTGACCAGTGAGTACTACATTGTCCAGCTGATCAAGCTCCACCTGGACACCCACAAAGATCTCCTGTTCTTTGTACCCCAGACCTCTGCTGTGCCGAGAGAGGTCATCCCTGTGGGCAGGCCCTGTAGAGACAAACTGGTCTGAACTGGGCTCTAGGATTGAGTTTTAAGCACAGACATCAGGTGGGCGAGGCAGATTTGTTCTCTTCTTAGTCCCAGGGCATGCCCATGTTACCTTGATTTCTCTGTCACTTTGTTGTTGGGCCAAGACAGGCACGACAAGCTCAACTCACCTCAGCAACACGACCATAAAACCTGTCTGTCAGACCTAATTTGGATGAAATGTCTCTTTTCACCTCTAATAAGCTCTGTGTTTCATCTCGGAGGTGGGTCCGTTAAGAATCTGTGCCTGCCGCAGTCACTTGGCATTCTTGTCCAGGGTTAACTGGTTTTGCTGTTCTTAGCCCCATTCTCTGTCTCCTATCGGTTGGCTTGTCTTCCTAAAGAGTTGTCTGAAAACCCACCCTAAGTGTCTCTACTGATAGCTTGATTGTGTGTTTCCAGAAGCAGAGCTGTGCCTTGGCATTCTCACACCACATGAATTAGGCCAATGTTCTGAGTAGCACCAAAGACTCACGTGAATTTGAGTGTCTGTAGTTGCATTCCATCTGTTCAGTCTCAGTGTACAAATTCCACTGAGCCCTCAACAACCAGGCTACTGACGAAAGAAGGCTGAATGCTGCAGTGATCCTTTTAGAATGCAGGGAGGCTGGCTCCCCAGAATCTGTGTCAAAGAGAGAAGTTCAAGTGCTTGCACAGATGCCAGGGGAGACTCTGTTGTTAATATCCTAGATAGAATAAATTTTTCCAAATGGCTCAGGCCGGGAAATCAAGCCAGTTATTACATGACAATATCGGAGGCACCCTGACATATTCTTCTGACTAAACCTGTTCTCACATTGAACATATGTGAGTGTGTGGGTAACATGAGACACTGGATTATTAACGTACCGAGAAGGATCTCATTCATGACCAGCCCTGTCTCTATATAATTACAGA